ATAGCAAGAACCTGGAAGCAACCATGCTGTCCATCAAAAGAGGACTGGATTAAAAAACTGTGGTACATATACACGATGGACTATTACACAGCCATGAAAAAGAACAAAATCATGAACTTCACAGCAACCTGGATGGAACTAGAGTTTATAATACTGAGTGATCTCTCACAGAAACAAAGATCTGAGTATCACATGTTCTCACTCATAAGTGGACCTTGAACATCTATCATAATACTATAAGAAAAGGATTGACAGTGGCAGGAAACTATGGGGGGGGACAGGAAGGGGAAGGGAGGTGGGATTGTCAGTAGTCAATATCTGTCTGGGACGGGGGGACACCCCTTAACAACAAGGTTGCCTGAACAATGCATATTTGTATACCTAACCCTTAACTGTACCCCACAATTTTAAAATTAAAAATATTTTTTTTTAAAAAGTAAAGAAAGTTTGAAATTCAGTTCCTCGGTTGTATTCATTTTATTTCAAGTGCTGAGAAGGTACCTGTGGCTAGTGGCTTCCATATGATACCACATAGATACTCAGAAGTCCCTCTTCTCCAGAAGATGAAAGTAATAATTTCTTCTTTTAAAAAAAAATTTTTAGATACAGAGTTGCATGTGCAGGTTTTTTACATGGGTATAGTGTGTGATGGTGAGGTTTAGGCTTCTGTTGAAATTGTCACTCTGGCTGGGCACAGTGGCTCACGCCTGTAATCCCAGCACTTTGAGAGGCAGAGGCAAGAGGACTGCCTGAGTCTGCAGGTTCGAGACCAGCCTGGGCAACAAGGTGAAACCCATCTCTACAATACATCAAAAAATTAGCTGGGCATGGTGGCGCACACCTGTAGTTCCAGCTACTTGGAAGGCTAAGGAGGAAGGATCACCTGAGCTCAGCAGATTGAGGCTGTGATGGTCGTGAGTATGCCACTGCACTCCAACCTGGGTAACAGAGTAAGACTCCGACTCAAAAAAAGAAGAAAAAGAAACTGTCACCCAAATAATGACCATGATATCCAATAAATAGTTTTCAACCATCACTCCCCTAAATTTAGGAGACCCCAGTATCTATTGTTCCCATCTTTACGTCTATGTGTAGCCAGGGTTTAGCTCCCACTTATGAAAGAGATAGCAGTACTTGATTTTCTCCTTTTGTTTTAATTTGCTCAGAATAATGACCTCCAGCTTCATACATGTTGCTGCAATAAGCATGAGTTTGTTCTTTATGATGGCTGTATGGTATTCCATGGTGTACATATACCACATTTTCTTTATCCAGTACACCCTTGATGGGTACCTAGGTTGGTTCCATGTCTTCACTACTATGGCTAGTGCTATGATAAATATGAGTGTATGTCTCTTTTGGTAGAACAATTTATGCTCCTTTGGGAATAACCCCAGTAGTGAGATTGCTATGTTGAATGGTACATTTACTTTCAGTTCTTTGAGAAATCTCCAAACTGCTTTCCACAGGAGTTAAACTAGCGTACGTGCCCACCAACAGTGATCTTTCTCTTTTTTCCACAACCTCGTCAACATTTGTTTTTTATTGACTTAATAACAGTCACTCTGATTGGTGTGAGATGATATCTCATTGTGGTTTTGATTTGCATTTCTCTGATGATTAGCGATGTTGAGCATTTATTCAAATGTTTGTTGGTTGTTTATACACCTTCTTTTGACCAGTGTCTGTTCCTATTCTTTGCCCACTTTTTAATGGAGTTATTTGTTTATTTCATGTCAATCCGTTTAAATTCCTTACAGATTCTGTCGGATCCATAGTTGGCAAATATTTTTCTCCCATTCTGTAGGCTGTCTGTTTACTCTGGAAAATTTCTTTTGCTGTGCAAAAGCAGCTTAGGATTTGGTCATAAATTTGTTGCCTAGGCCAATGTCCAGAAGAGTGTTTCTTAGGCTTTTTTCTAGGATTTTTTATAGTTTGAGGGCTTATATTTAAGTCTTTAATGCATCTTGAGTTAATGTTTATTGAACCGGATGTTCTTTCTCCAATGTTTATTTTTGTCCATGTTGCTGAAGATTAGTTGGTTGGAGGTGAGTAGCTTTTTCTCTGGGTTCTCTATTCTGTTCCATTGATTCATGGGTCTATATTGTACCAGTACCACGCTGTTTTGGTTACAGTAACCTTGTGGTAAAGTTTGAAGTCTAGTAATGCAATGTCTTCAGCTTTGTGCTTTTTTGCTTAGGTTTGCTTTGACTATTCAAGCTTTTTTTTTTCTTTTTCTTTCTTTCTTTCTTTTTTCTTTTTCTGCTTCCATATGAATTTAAGAATGTTTTTTTCTACTTCTGCAAAAAAGGATGCTGGCTGTTTGATAGGAATTATGTTGTATCTGTAGATTGCTTTGAGCAATATATACAGACATTTTGACAAAATTGATTCTTCCAGTCAGTGAGCATGGAATGTTATTCCATTTGTGTCCATTTTGATTTCTTCCAGAGGAGTTTTGAAATTTTTACTGTAGAAATATTTTACTTCCTTGGTTAGATGCATTCCAGGTATTTCAAGAATTGTGTTCTTGATTTGGTTCTTACCTTAAAGATCGCTGGTGTGTAGAAATGCTACTGATTTTTGCACATTGATTTTGTGTCCTGAGAAACTGAAGTTGCTTATCAGATTTAGGAGTCTTTTGGTGGACTCTTTAGGATTTTCTAGATATTGAATCGTATCATCTGCAAAGAGATAATTTGACTTCCTTTTTTCCTGTGTGAATGTCTTTTATTTCTTTCTCCTGCCTGGTTCTCTGGCTAAGACTTCCAGTATTATGTTTAATAGGAGTGGTGAGAGTGGACACCTTTGTCTTGTTTCACTTTTTAGGTAAATGTTTCCCACTTCTGCCCACTCAATATGATGTTGGCTGTGAGTCTGCCATAGATGGCTGTGCTATTTTGAGGTGTATTCCTTTGATACCTACTTGTTTGAGAGTTTTTATCAAGAGTGAACATTGGATTTTATCAAATTCTGTATCTCTCTCTCTCTCTCTCTCTCTCTCTCTCTCTCTGTATATATATATATAATATATAATATATATTTTTCAAATATGGCCATATCAATAGATGAAGAAAAATATGCTCAAAACTTGATCAAAGGATACACACATTCATGAACAAAAGTGGTAAAAAGTTAGGAAAAAGAACAAACTTCTCTAATCTGATTTTTTAAATCACAAAAATATAAATTAAACATAATTCTCAATGGTGAGATGTTAAACTTCCACCTGTCCTGGAGATCAGATATGAAGCAAAAATGCCCACTCTTGTGATCTATTCAACACTGTCCTGAAGATGCTAGCCCGTGAAATAATGCAATCAAGAGAAAATTCAGTAAAAAGAATTGGAAAATAAAAAATATATAAATCAGACCACAGAATTGTACATCAAAATTCAAAATGCATTTATCAACAAATAATTAGCAATGATAAGTCAGCTTAGCAAAGTTGCTAGGTATAAGGTCATGAAGATAATAAGCACAATTATACTAATAATTAATGCATCATATTAATTAATAAGCACAATTATACCAGAAAAAAAGAAATGGAAAAGGCATTTTTTTAAAGTATAATATGTAAAAGCCAGGCAATGTGGTACGCATCAATTAACTCAGGAGGCTGAGATGGGAGCTTGCGACAAGATATTCACACAGGGCAACATAGGGAGACCCTGTCTCAAAAAATAGATACATATCTATACTATTTACAACAAAAGTATCATTTATTTAGGGGGAAAAAAACATGACATAGGTGCTAGCCACAGCACTAAAAACAAAACATTACTGAGAAAATAGAAGCAAGCCCAAATGAATTAAGAACATGGAATATTATGCAGCCATAAAGAAGGACAAATATATGGATTTTGCAGCAACTTGGATGGATTTGGAGTCAATCATACTCAGTGATTTATCACAGAAACAAAGAACTGAGTTCCATATGTTCTCACTCATAAACTGACCTTGAACAATTACAATGCTATAAGAAAGCAATTGGCAGTAGTGGGAAACTGTCAGGGGAGGTGAGGTGGGATTGGCTGTCAAGGGAAACTGCTAGGGGAGGGTGGGGCATACCTCATCAACAAGGGTACCTGCATGATCAATGTTTGTATACCTAGCCCTGAAATGTACCCCACATCTTTATAATAAAAATTTTTTTAAAAGAACATGAATTGCAAGATATCAAAGATGTCAAAGATATCAACCCTTTGTAAATTGATCTATAGCTTGAAAGTTATCTTGATAAAAATTCCAGCACAGTGTTTTGGAAAATTGACAAAATAATACTTCAGCCATTTGTCTGGAAGCATAAATACCTAAGAATAGCCCAAAAGTTATTAAAGAAGCAGAGTAAATTTGGAAGACATACTGCCAGCAAGACCTGTTATAAAGATTTATAGCCCCAAACTGGAAACAGAAGACAGTCCACCAAACTGCCACACGTGTGAATTTTGCACCTCTCTCATCTTGTTTTGGTAGAGGACAGCACGTGGGTGCAGGGTAGGAGAAACGAGCTTACCTTGGGGATGAGGTAGTCCCTGAATTTAACGTCACAGGTCACCGCATGGGGCAAGCTGTTGGGTATGAGATCAATGTACCTCTGGACCTCGTGAACCATGGCATCCGTGTAGGGCATGCGGCTCCTGTCCTGCATGCAGGGGCTCCGGTCTCTGCCAATCACACGGTCAATCTCTTCCTGGACTTTGGCTGATAAGACACAAGCAAGAACTGATGGAAAAGGAGAAAAACGGCAAATTTACATGAAGCCTGATGAAGGTGTCCCCTACATGATCACAAACTGAAACTAGAGGGCTGTAAGTACACCCAGACTTAGAGAGGAAATTACTCTATTATAGATGCCTATAACTCTCCACAAGCTAAGAACCTAAAAGACAAATCTGTACTCACCTGCATATTAGCATATAGAATAATCCATACAGATAGAAATGATAAAATGCTTTAAAATATATTTAGTAGATTATAAATTCGCCAAAATGACCATCTTTGCAGAAGAAAAAAATAAAAAATGTTGTATCCAAATTAATTCTATGTCAATTTTGTATTAAAAATTGAATTCTACTAACAGATCCATATATACATATGCGTTTGTGTTGTATGTATATGTTTATTTGCAACTGCCTCTCCACAAAGGTAGTCACTTTCAAACATTCTAGAAGTTTCTTCTGAAATGCATGTTCACATTTCTAAAAAATGACTCTATTTTGATTTATTGATTTTATCTGTTTTTTAGAAAATTCCTAAAACCAAATTCCTAAAACTTTGCACTAAGAGAGATGAGGACTGACACCTTCATCATCACCCCTTGATAAACACACACACACACAGACACACACACACACACACACACACACACACACACACACGTTCCCTCACTCGTTTCCCCAATGTATTTAAATTGCATTTTTATTATATTAACACTTATGTTCACATCATTTTGACTTCATAAATATTGATTACAAATAGGGTAGCTACAATTGTATTTTCTCTTTTATATAGTCAGAGGCTTAAAAGTATCTATTTCTATTCTAATTGTCAGACACCAATTTAGAATTATTGCAAATGTTGGAGAATGTTTTAAACTGTCGTGATTTTCGTTTTTTATACCAATATTTTTTATTTTTTTATACCAATATTTTTTATTTTGATATTGTGGGGTACAGTTAAGGGTTAGGTATACAAATATGTTTAGTTCAGGCACCCTTGTTGATAAGGGGTGTCTCCCCGTCCCCAGACAGACATTGACTACCATTAATCTCACCTCCCTTCCCCCCCATAGTTTCCCACCACTGTCAGTTCTTTTCTTATAGTATTACGATGGATGCTCAAGGTCCACTATATGAGTGAGAACATGTGATACTCAGATCTTTGTTTCTGTGAGAGGTCACTCAGTATTATTGACTCTAGTTCCATCCAGGTTGCTGCGAAGTTCATGATTTTGTTCTTTTTTATGACTGCGTAGTATTCCATCGTGTATATGTACCACATTTTTTTAATCCAGTCCTCTTTTGATGGACAGTACGGCTGATTCCTGGTTCTTGCTATTGTGAACAAGGCTGCGATAAACATACGTGTGCAGGTATCTTTTTAATAGAGTGATTTGAGTTCTTCAGGGTATATTCCCAGTAGGGGGATTGCAGGATCATATGGGAGGTCGATATTTAGATAATTTTCTAAATATTAAAAAAAATCAGATAATCAACCTCTTCCTTTTGCTCTTAGTGTGTCTCCTCACACCTACATTATCCACTCGATCCATTCTGAAGTGGTTGTTTTTTAGACCTGGTTCCTAGAGTCCTCCCTGACATGTCCATCCTCTTAAATGTGATCTCCTGATTCCTGGAGCCCATGATTCCCTCTGACTTGGCTTCAGACATTTCAATGCAACATATTATGTATTACATAAAATATATTAATAAAATATATTTCTAGGAGAGTAAACTTTTGCCAACTTACATGTTCGAAAATATTCTTTATCTATGGATACACAAGATAACACTTGCTCTTGAGAATTATAATGCCATTCTGATTCCAGAGCCCTTATATTTGACCTAATTCATCTCTGAAAGTTGTGTTATTTTCCTTTTAATCTTGGTGTCCTGAAATTTCATGGTCTGGTGTATCATGTGAACATGTTCATTTCATTCACTTTGCTGGACATTCGGTGAGAATTTTCTATCTAAATAGTTTTTTTTTAATAAGAAAAAAAAAGAAGGTCTTTCCATGGTGCTACTCATTCTCTGGTGTTTACATTTGGCTGCTGAATTTTAGGATCAAGATAGAGAAAGGAGTTAAGGACCTAAGAATTCAAGTGGACTCTTATTTCATACTTCTTTTCAGTTATGCTCCTCGCTCTTTCCATCTCTTCCTCGTGTCCCTTAGTGCAGCGCCTCTCGGGTTCAATTTCTCTAGAGAGCAAGCCCCTCCATCTTGTAGGGAAAAACAGTTACCTAACAAATGAAGTTATAAAGGGAAATTGAGCATGAAGAGTCTCCCGGTTTTCTGCCTCAATCTCCTTCTGCTTTCTTTGGGTCTTGGTTCTTTTTAAGTACTAAGCCTTATGGGGATCATTGGAGCACAAATTGATCTGTTCATCTGTGGACTTCTTATGACACTTAGTTTACAACTTCAATCTCTCTGCCAAATTAGTTATCATCCTTCTATATGCTCTCTGTGCTTTGGAAGTTTGTTAAAGACTTGATGGTTCTTTCTTGAACTCTTCAACTCCGACTTGAACAAGAGTAATTCTCCCTTGTAATAAATTTATCATCATTTAAATGGGATTCTATTGTGAACAATGCTGCAATAAACATACATGTGTAGGTATCTTTTTTATTGAGAGATTTGAATTCTTCAGGATATATTCCCAGTGTGGGGAATGCAGGGTCATATGAAAGGTCGATTTTTAGAGCTTTTAGGCTATCAAAAGAGGACTGGATTTTTAAAATGTGCTATGTATACACAATGGAATACTACACAGCCATAAAAAAGAACAAAATCATGAATTTCGCAGCAACCTGGATGGAACTAGAGTTTATAATACTGAGTGATCTCTCACAGAAACAAAGATCTGAGTATCACATGTTCTCACTCATAAGTGGACCTTGAACAACTATTGTAATACTACAAGAAAAGGATTGACAGTGGCAGGAAACTATGGGGGGGCAGGGAGGGGAAGGGAGGTGGGATTAACGGTAGTCGATATCTGTCTGGGGACAGGGGCGGGTACACCTCATCAAGAAGAGTACCTGTACAATGCATATTTGTATACCTAACCCTTAACTGTACCCCACAATTTTAAAATTAAAAAATATGTTTAAAAAAATGGGATTCTAACTCAGAAAAACATATTGTACGTGGCTAACATGCTATGTAGAACCAGAATCCGCTTATAAGTAAATAAATATAAAATGTATTTATTTCTATTTAAAGGTTATTTATATAATAAAACTATTGACCCTAAGAAAAATTCTTACATTAGCAAGTACCATTTTTCTAAACTCAGATTTCAATAATTCAATTTCTTAGGCACATCTTCTGCCTAAATGGCATACACCTTTATTATGCACCTAACCTTTTAAAATACTTTTCAGACTATGAAACTTTTCTCAGGCCATCGCTTCTAATGTTTAGAATATTCACTATACAATTCAATAAATAGAGTTTCCCAAAGAACTAAATATAGAACTATGCTTGGATCCAGCAATCCCACTATTGGGTATCTATCCAAAGGGGGAAAAAAATCATGTCATCAGAAAGACATTTGCACATGTATATTTAGCATAACACTATTCAAATGGTAAATTAATGGAATCAACGTGTGTCCATCTATGGATGATTGCATTTAAAAACTGTGATACACACACAGCACGGAATAAATAAAACCATGTCTTCCACAGCAACCTGATTGGAACTCGAGGCTATTATCCAAAGTGAAATTACTCAAAAGTTTCATGTTCTTACTCATACATGGGAAGTAAACAATAGGTACTAGACTGGAATAATAGACATTGGAGACTCCAAAAGGTAGGAAGATGGTGGCAGTCGAGGGATAAAATACTATCCACTGGGTAAAATGTACACTCTTCAGATGATGGGTACACCAACAATCCAGACTTTACCACTAGGCAATATATCCATGTAACACAACTGCCTTTGTCCCCCTAATCTATCAAAATAAAAATTTACAAAAATAAACAAATAAATAGCATTAAGCCAACCAATATCTGTCAATAGTAATATAGAGGTTACCACTTTCCTATACCAGCACTAGAGCACTACATGTTCAGAATAAAGGAAGATCTGTAAGGACACAGCTACCACTCAAAATGGTCTGTTCTGCTGGAAAACAGAGCCGTGCATCCATGGCTATTAAAGAAACAAAATTTCTGCTGAACTTAAAAAAATTGTTCTACTCTTAAGACAACCAATATACAATTATAGGCCAATACCTAACACCTGTGCTTGTTACAAATCCCTTCCTGCGAAATCCAGATACTTTATTTAGAGTATTTTGTAGCTTAAATCTAAAGCTTCATCACTTTTTTTTACACTGTCTTCACTTCCTTCAAATACACCTCCTTGTTTTGCAAATTTTTCTCATTTTTATCCCCTCATCATATCTGGACAACATTACAGACGGTGGCACAGAAATTTCAATAATGAGGCTTTTCTAAGAGAAACAAGATGGAGGACAGTAACAGTGTCTTCCTAACAACTTCTCTTTTTTTTAATAGATAAGATCTTGCTAGGTTGCCCAGGCTGGTCTTGAACTCCTGGCCTGAAGCGATCTTCCCAAAGTGCTAAGATTATAGTGTGAGCCACCATCCCCAGCCCCATCCGAAAGCCACCCTGTCCACTCTATGTCATCATACCTGTGACCTCTGGATGCTTAAGCAGGAGTAGGAGTCCATATCTTAGGGTGGTGCTTGTTGTCTCTGTCCCAGCAGCAAACAAATCCGTTACAGTGCCTAACAGGGTCTCGATAGTAAATTCAGACTGTTGATTGTGCTTTTCCTAAAAATCATTTGATTATTTAATTATTTGACAGTTTGTCTGCATATGAAATTACAATAAATTCAACATATGTCAGATTGTTTTAAAGATAGACAAACTTAGAAACTAGAGAGTGCAGTATTAAAACTACAACAGCTGCATAGCGTGGGAAAGGATGTAGAGAGGTTGGCTCGAACTTCATTTCCTAACTCCCCCCCCCATCCTTTGCTTGCCTAAAACTTTCATTTTCCAATCTTTCTTGGAGTTGTATTGGCCATGACATATGTTTATTGTCTATGACATATAAACAGTAGCCTGCTGATGGCACTTTCTCACTTTCCTTCTTCTAACTCAAAACATATATACAAAGGTAGAGGTGGTATAGACATCACCTTGGACCATGAGTACTTGAGAACCAAGTTGGAGGTTCATGTACTAAGTGTGAGGATGAAAAACAGCAGACATCTCATTCCAGGATGCTTCAGGGCGACATTACTAGCTCTGCATTGCCCAACATGAGACACCCTGTATGTGAAATAAATAAGCATGCTATTTCTTTGCACTACTGTTCATTGGAATTTTTCTTGTTTGTACACACACACAACCTTAATTGATAGAAATAGATAAATGAAGATGCTATAAGCCAAAATCAAGGGTTTGTTAATCTCAAAGTGCGACAATAGAAACACTGCAGAACAGGAGGTGCCAGCCTTTCCTTCCACCCAAGGACGCACCACATAAGCATCGATTCATGGATCAAGTCCCTCTGGGAGAAAGTCAGAAATGAGTGGTGAGATTCCTATGCACGCAACAACTGAGAAAACATCCACATAGACCAGGAAGGAAAAGCTGCACACATACTTGGGCACCAACTTCCCCTCAGAAACTATACCAGGTAATTGAGAAGGAATCGCATACCGGCAGCCAACAGACACATGAAAAAGTGCTCAAGCTCACTAATCATCAGAGAAATGCAAATCAAAACCACACTGAGACACCACCTAACCCCAGTAAGAATGGTCATCATTAATAAAACAAACAATAACAGATGCTGGGGAGGGTGCAGAGAAAAAAGAACGCTTCTACACTACTGGCAGGAACGCAAACTAGTGCAACCTCTTTGGAAGATAGTGTGGCGATTTCTGACAGAACTAGAAATTGACCTTCCATATGACCCAGCAATCCCCCTATTGGGAATATACCCGGAGGAACTCAAATCATTCAGGTATCAAAAAGATACCTGCGCACACATGTTTGTTGCAGCTGTATTCACAATAGCAAAAACATGGAACCAAACATGCTGCCCATCAAAGCTGGACTGGATTTTTTTTAAATGTAGTACATATACACAATGGAATGTTATGCAGCCATAAATAAGGACACGCATATGAACTTCACAGCAACTTGGATGGATTTAGAGTCTATCATACTCAGTGATCTATCACAGAAACAAAGAACAGAGTACCATATGTTCTCACTCCTAAATGGACCTTGAACAAGTATCATAATTCTATAAGAAAGGGATTGGCAATAGTGGAAAACTGCCAGGGGAGAGGGAATGGATGTGATTGGCAGTTGAGGGAAACTGCTAGAAGAGGGAGGGGCACAACTCATGAACAAGGGTACCAGCATATTGAACATTTGTATACCTAACCCCGAATAGTACCCCACATCTTTAAAATAAATTTTTTTGAAAACAACTTTAAAAAAAGAAAGAGCGAAGGAGTCTCCAACACACAGCTTCTCCCTGGGGGGAGGAGGGTTTATACCACACGGTAATGCCCTAATTCTAAGGTTCCCCAGAGATAGGTACTTAATTCACCAGCTCTGAGCAAAGGGGACTAGATATACAGGAGTACAGAAAATAGTATTGGTATTATGCAAGTGCAGAAGCATTTTCAAAGGCCTTTATCCTCTGAGATCAGGATGGAGAAGAGGATAAAATTCAAAGGTCAAGTTTTGCTGCTATTGAGCTTCTAAGTAGCCTGCATCAGGGAGTTAATTGGTCCAATGAACAGCAGCTCTCTGGCAGCCTGAGCAGGAGGTTGTCGCTTCCTGAACCTTCTCTCCCAGATTCTCCCAGTGAAAAATCCAAGTCTACCCATTCATCCTGGAAGGAGTTTGTCCACTCACTGAATGCTGCAATTTCTATAGCTCCCACACAAAGGATTGCATGCTTAGCTTTGAAAGTTGATGGGGCTCTGCATTCCTAAGTCTCCTTACATCACAGAAATGAAGACTAGAAAAGCAATGGAAAAGGTCAAGGAATCTAAGAGTTGGGTTTTTTTTAAAAAATAAACAAAATTGAAAAACACTTAGCAGGGAGTACTGAGAAAACAGAGAGAACACTCAAACAAATAAATCAGAAATAATAAAGAGACATTACAACTGATAACACAGAAGAACAAAGGATCATGGTAGACTACTAAAGACTGTTGTATGAAAACAAAATTGATAACCTAGAAGAAATGGGTAGATTTCCAGAAATATATAGCATACTAAGACTAAATCATGAAGAAACTGGAAACCTGAACAGACCATTAGAGTGAGGAAATTGAAATAGTAATTAAAAGTTTCCCATAAAAGAAAAGCCTAGAACCAGATGGTTTTACAAGCATTTAAAGATTTAATGCCAATTTTTCTGAAACTCTTCAAAAAAATGAAAGAGGAAGTAATACCTTCAAACTGACTTCACGAGATCAGCATTACCCTGATACCACAGTGAGACAAAGACACTATAAGAAAAGAAAACTACAGGGCAATTACCTTGATGTGCATAGATGCAAAAATTCTTATGAAAATATTGATTGCCTGAGCCCACGGGTTTCAGACCCGCCTGGGCAACTTGGCGAGACCTCATCTCTACAGTGAATAAAAAAAATTAGCTGGGCATGGTAGTGCACATCAGTAGTTCCGGCTACTCGGAAGACTGAGGTGGAAGGATCGCCGGAGCCCAGCAGGTCGAGGCTGCGGTGGCCGGGAGCGTGCCACTGCACTTCAGTCTGGGTCCAGCTACTTGGAAGACTGAGGTGGAAGGATCGCCAGAGCCCAGCAGGTCGAGGCTGCGGTGGCCAGGAGCGTGCCACTGCACTTCAGTCTGGGTCCGGCTACTTGGAAGACTGAGGTGGAAGGATCGCCAGAGCCCAGCAGATCGAGGCTGCGCTGGCCGGGAGTGTGCCACTGCACTCCAGTCTGGGTGACAGAGTGAGACTCCAACCCAAAAAATAAAAGAAAAAGAAAATACTAACAAACCAAATTTAACAGAACATTAAAAGAACCATTCAATAAGATCAAGTAGGATTTATCCCTGGGATGCTAGGATGGTTCAACATGCACTAGTAAATAAATGTGGTCCACTATATTAACAGAATGAAAAAATCTGAATAGATGCAAAAAATGAAAGGCATCCTCTGAACAGATGCAAAAAAAAGCATTTTAAAAATTCAACATTATTTCATGATTAAAGCTCACAACAGGTTAGATAGAGAAGGAATGTTCCCCAACACAATAAAGGACATATATGACAAGCACACAGCTAACTTAAACAGCCACACAATAACAGTGAGGCACATCAACACACTACTAACAACTTTGGACAAATCATTGAGGTAGAAAATTAACAAAGAAATTCTGCACTTAAACTCATCACTTTACCAAGGGGACCTAATAGATATCTACAGAATTCTTTAACCAGCAACTATAGAATATACATTCTTCTAATCTGCACATTAAGCACATTCTAAATCAACCATATGCTTGGTCATAGAGCATATCTTAATACATTCCAAAAATCAGAACCATACCAAGCATGTTTTCTGACCACAGCAGAAGAAAAATAGATATCAATACCAAGAGGAACCCTCAAAACAACACAGATAAATGGAAACTAAACAACTTGCTCCTGAATGAATTTAGGTAAACAACAAAATCAAGAATGAAATGTTTTTAATATTTTGAAAGAAAAAAAAAACACAACATATCAAAACTTCCAAGATGCCACAAAAGTAGCACTAGGAAAAAAGCGTATGCACTAAATGCCCATATCAATAAGATAGGAGGATCTCAGTTAAACAAACTAACATCTCACCTAAGGAAGCTAGAAAAAAAAGAGAACAAACTAAGCCTAAAGCTACCAATAGAAAAGAAATAACCAAAATTAGAGCAGAACTAAATGAAAAAACCCATACAAAGGAACAACAAGACGAAAAGCTGGTTCTTTGAAAAAATAAACAAGATTAATAGACTGCTGGTCAGACTGAGGAAAAAAGATAAAAAATTGAAATAAGTACAATTAGAAATGAGAAAGGAGATATTACAACCAATCTAAAAGAAACATAAAATTCCCAGAAATTATTATAATCATCTATATTAGTGTCAAATAAAAAATGGAAATAAAATGTATGCATTTCAGGAAATACACAAACTCCCAAGATTGAACCAGAGATATTGAAACCCTGAACAGACAAATAATGAGTAACAAAATAAAATCAGTAATAAAAAACCTACCACACACAAAAAAAGGCCTGAGCCAGACAGATTCACGCCAAATTCTATCAGATGTACAGGGAGGAACTGCTATCCATTCTACTGAAACTATCCCAAAAATTGAAGAGGAAGGACTCTTCCCTAACTCATTCTTTGAAGTCATTATGATACCGATATCAAAATCTAGTAAAGATACAACAGGGAAAGAAAACTGCAGGTCAATATTCCTGATGAACAAAGACACAAAAATCCTCAACAAAATACTGGCAAACCACATCCAACAGCACATCAAAAATATTATTCACACTGAACAGGTGGGTTTTATTCCTGGAATGCAAGGTTGGTACAACAAACACAAAATCAATGAACATAACCAGTAGCAAAAACAAGAACCATATGATCATCTTAACAGATTCAGAGAAAGCATTAATAAAATCCAACAGCCAGTTATGCTGAAAACCTTCAATCATTTAGGCATCAAAGGAACATCTTCAAAATAATAACAGCCATCTATGACTAACCCACAGCCAACATTA